CCCACCTTCCCTACCAACCTTCTTCATTTCAACAGAAAACATCTAGCAGGGTGAGCTATAATCAGGTTCAGACGCTAGCTAGTTTGTCACCTTTTAGCTGCCATTTAGCTTCTAATCACTGCTCATCGGATCCACCTGCTCCTGCCTCTATTTAAGGTGCTTGCATCCAGTCATCAGTGCCAGGTGAATCTTGTTCTCACATGCCAGCTGTGAGAGTGTTTTTAGAGTTCCTTGGTGTTTCTGATTTCCTGATCCTGACCTGTTCTGCCTCTCAACCACTAAACCTTCCTGTTCCTGTTCTGATCTGTTTGCCTGACCTGCCTATGGACTCCATCTTACTCTTCGTTCTCCAGGACTGCAGCATCTAGATCCTACCTCATTGTGGACATGGACTGAACTTGTTAATCAGGTTAGGGACTCGCATTCATAATCTACCTCCTTTAGATCTATATGGTCACTAACCTGTGTCACTGCTACTGCAGATCCACAGTCCGTCAGTTTTGTGATAATCGCTTTTTGTCTTGAATACTGGTTCCTCAGTTCTGAATCTTGGCATTATCAAAGATGGCGGCGCAACATGGAGGACAGATTTAGCAGACGGCCTTGTGGGTTAGAGCAGCGCTCTGCGCTCTGAGAAGGTTGCAAGTATCCGGTTCGATCCCCACATACAGCCACTCTGGGTCCCTGAGCAAGACCCTTAACCCCACACTGCTCCCAATAAAGAGATTTACAACATGGCGTCCTTCAGTGGCTGCACTGCTTCCTATGTATTTATAAACACCTCATTCTAAGTTAAGGACCATTTCTTTCTGATGTGATGGTTATGCTAATATAAATCCACCGTCCCTTTAAGGCGGACTCTGTCTCTTTCCGTCTTTCACCGTTTCTCCCATATGGAAATCTTTTGGGTTCAAGAACTTTGCTGCAGACGCTTCAGACGTGCAAATAAATGAACCTGAAGACACCAGAAACAGATCCAAGGGTTAAAGCTGCTTTCTGTTTGTGAGCAGGAGGCTGAGATGGAGGAAGATGAGGAAAGCTGTCTGTCGTGACCAGCTGCTCAGACTGAGGAAGAGGAGGAGGAAGAGGAAGAGTTCAGAAAAAGAGGCAGATAAAGGGTCTGAGGAGGACACTGCCAGCAGGTGTGATGAGGACACGTTTGACACCTGGCTTTTATCCTGTCAGTGGAATTGGGTTCAATTTGTCTCGACAGGCTGTGATTTCAGAACCTCTCAGGTCCGTTTGGTTCTTAGCTGCTTTCCTGAAAAAAACTGCTTCAGAAAAACAAAACGCTTCCCTGAAGGGTTGAGCAGAACAAAGGAAACAGGATGGAGGGCAGCACATCTATTCGCC